GTGGCCCCCACAGTATGATAACCTATAGACAGATAGTATTGGTCCCCTGACCAAGAAACAAACCCAGGCTGCAGTGGCGAGACCACCGAATCCTGACCACTAGACCCCCAGGGCTGGCTGCCAGATAAAGAGATCCAGAATATTAGAATGAAGTTAGTTTAGAACCTCTGTGTAGGTCACTTATGAAATGATTTCACAGAAAGATAGAGACACAGATATGCATACACACACACACACATCAGATAAGTACTCTGATAAATACAAGGAAGCCATAGATTAATATCACCTAAATTGTGATGCAGACGACCCACAAATCTCAGACTTCTGGACCTTACCCAAAGGCTGTGAAATCAAAATCTCTGTGAGGCAAGACCTTGAAATCTATATTTTAACATACAAACCAGGAAATTTCTAGATACTTTAAGTTTCGAAAATCTGCTGTCACGGTAAATGTGTATCTTGGTTGGAATAAAACCTTTGCCTCAACTCAGGAAAGGTCATTAACGGAAGGTAAAGTTTGGGATGGATTTATGTCAAAATCTGTAAGAAATATGTTTTTCAGGTAGACAGGAGCATCTATATATGTTGTGGAATATTTTAACCTAGTTAATCAGCTAAACTTTAACGAAAGCTTTTTCCAGATTACATATCAGATCATGGTTTTTCCATGGCTTAATGTAGATTCATCAGTTTATCTTTCTTCCTAGAAGGCATGATAGCTCAATAACATACCACGTAAGTGCTATTTATGGTAATAAGACAACTGGAACAGACTCAGGGAATATACTCAGAAGAACGATTTTATATGATAAAGTGTCTCACAGCTTTGGGAATCATCGGGTACAAAACTCATGCCATCAATAGGGTCATGCACTTAGACTATCTAAGTTACTTATAGGCTGTGACTCTCACTTAAGACCCATGTTGTCCCACAAATGTATTTGAGGGTTAAAAACACCAAGAGTGAAAATACTACCACAAAGTGTCAAGTGCCTTTTATTGCTACAATTGAAAGACTAGACAACCTGGACTTTTCAGAATTGGAGGGTGGCCACCATAACTGGTCAATTATAACAGCTAGATGGGTAGTTGTGGTGATAAACCTTAATACAAACCATCATTAAAAATCTGGATAAGACTTCCTCTCCTGAGAAGGAAGGATATAGTAGGTCATGAGAGGCCAATGCCCCCATGAAAAAAAAAACAGTAAAAAACAGATAAGTACAAAAATTATATTTTACAAAACCTTAGATTTCTGGAAACAATAAGAACCAGATTAACTAAAATTTCAGAGAGGAGAGAATCCTTTTTAGGTGAACTCTCCTGGGTTATCTTTCCTGGGTGCACTTGCCAATTCTGGGCTTAGGCCACATTTTGAAAGTTTAAGGGAAGAGACTAAAGAACTAAAATCAACACTTGAGTAAAGAAGAACCAAATATTGCCCTTTTTAAGGGGTAAGGAGCATGAGATATACCAGAGTCTCAAGGGAATGTGGAGGAACCAGAGGTAGAGTTGAATGATATTAAAATGGCAACTCAGTCCCAAACCAGCTCAATCCCTAATTGGGAACAAATAGCTCAAAAGAGTATTAAAGACTTTTCAATTCTAGAGTCAGTTAGAGCTGATTTTGAATCATAGCACCAACACTTACTAAATATTAGCCCCTGGGAAATTTGGTTTACCTCTCTACAACACTTGTTTTTCCATTTATGAAATAGCACATATCTCATAAGATGTTTCTTAATAATAAAAGAGATAATTCATATAAAATTCTAAACAATATCTTGTAAACAGAAGGTGCCAATATTCATTTTTCTCAAGCACAAGATTTCCTTACTACTACCAACACAAACCCTTGTTTAAGAAGAAAAAAGGAGGATGGAGAAGAAAAGGAATCTTTCTCTGGAGAAATATGTGTCCGCCTACGTCCACACCTGTGGAAGTGAAGAGCCCTGGAAACAAAGGAGCTCAGAAAGGCAGGAGGTGGTGAACCCGAGAGCCCGGGGGAGGGGGAGGGTTGATGGTGACATGAGTGAGAAATCCTCTGCCAATGAAGAATCAGGACCCTTTATGTCCTGTTTAAAGCAGGAGCTTATGAAAGAAATTGTGCATGTTTCTTAGGAAAGATAAACAGAACGATGAGCAAGTTGAAATAAAAGCAGCCCTAAGTTGGGCACGAATAAGCAGAGACACAACAGTGGGTCTGCAGAATCTGGTGGTTGGTGGTGGCAGCATCCACACTACTGCCGGCCTCAGACTAACTGCATTGCTTCCCACCCAGCCAACCTTCATACCAGAAACCCACTGGTGGATGAGCAGGCAAGAGTCCATGAGCAGCAATAAACAGTTAGAAAATATAACTGATAATATGTCCTACTCCCAATAGCTACAAATACTATCTATACATGCGAGGAATAAACTTAACGAGAAATGAACAAGGCTTTTCTAAGAGCCATCTGTCTTTACTAAATGATCTGAAAGAAAATGCAAACCAGTGCTAAGCACACAATACTTCTGGGGGAGAAGTCTCAATTTGTAATGATGTCAGTTTTTAAATTATCATTTAAGTGTAAACCAATACTTGGAAAAATTCCAACATGAATCTTTATGAGAGATTATAAATTTATTTTAGAAATTAAAATGTAAGAGTCTTGAAAAAAGAAAAGAAAGTACATCAGCAAAATAATATGTCATTAGATATGAGTTAACTCATGTCCATACAATTCTTTAGAACATGATAATGTCTATTTTAATTAGTAAGAAAATGGTTACTATTCAATAAATGATGTTGGGTCAATTTGTTATCTGTTTGCAAAAATAGTTTTCTTAAAAAATAAGTATATATACAGATTAAATAAAGATATGATTTATGAATACCTGAAAGTATTTCAGATAATGACCCTCCTAAATAAAATGCAAACCTAGAAGCCACTAAATAAAAGGTTGATTTATTTGATTACATAAAAATTAAAATCTTAAATATGATAAAACACTAGAAGTAGTTTTTAAAAATTGGTATATCTTCCATTTCAAGATTGCAAATTGATCAAATGTTATGAACTCCCCTTTGAACCAACAACTTAGGAATTACTTAAAGTAAAATAAAAGTGATTCCATAATTACATGCAAAACAATAAGATTAATCCTCTTTTGAGCAGAAACTGAGGAATCCCTGGAAATAGAAAACAGGCCACAGATGGCAAACGATGTAGACTACCATATTAATATTTATTAATCACTTAAGTTTTTCAATAATGATCCAACGATAGTCAAAGATTAGAGTTTATAATTAAATATATTTGCTTTTTGAAAGTGCTGTCTTAGGAGTTTTTGTGCTGAGCTTAGAAATCCATTCTTTATTTAAGTCCTAGATGAACTTCACGGGAAAATCTTTGACCTTCCTTTGGAAAGTCTTGTCAAATCCTTCATTCTACTACACAGTCACGTAATTTTTCCAGTCTCCAATGGTACCTGGGAGCAAAAACAAAGAAAGTGCTTCAGTGAAGTTTGTGGGCAGTGGGGCACGATAACTTGGTGTTGGGAGAAACATTATTTTTCCCACTTTTATTTTTCTCCCCATTAAGGATTTCTCATTCATGTCGCCATCAACCTTTCATCCTTATGAACCTTTAGTACATCCTTTACATGTACTAAATTAAAAAATCATAAAATATAATTAAGAAAGATAGTATAAAGTAATAA